CTAAGACATTGTCTTCTCTTCCGAGTCCCCAAAGAAGGCGGACGGTGAAGAGCCTGAACTTTCCCGTCCCAACAGAAGAGGGCGCTCGGAGCCGGGACACCTAATAGGCCATCAAGCATCTTTTTCTACATTCACCTGTTGCTGCTGGCCTAGGAAAATATGATACTCAGCAATTAGCAGAAAGTAAAATACAAATTCATACTGAATGTTTCATCAAGTGAAAAACATTTCAGGTGGTGAAAATTATTCCTCAAAAACAACCACAAAGCAGAGAAAAGTTGTAACAAAATACACCGGTCTAAATTAAATGTCCTTAAGCATTTGCAGGTGTGGAAAAAACCCTCAAAGAATATATTTAAAAGTTCAAAATAAAAATGAACATAAAACAGGAAGATGTGAAATGAGAGTTGACTGAACTCAGGAACAAAATTGAAGATAAAGAAAAAAATCATCTGTGAAATAAACTAAATTGGATGACACCTAAAGAATAACAGCTCAGCCTGAGACTATAATATGGGACATATGCAAAAGTTAAAACAGACAAAATAATGAAAATGAAATAGAGAGGTAAAAAAGGATCAGCAAGAAAATGAAGGGAAAGAAATATTTTTACTTAAAAATGGGCACTAATAAAGATTAGTACAAAGATAAGAATGTGAACAAAAATATTAACATACATTTTATATATTAAATATTTAATATGTAATATTAAGATAGAGAACATAAAAAATATAAAGACAACATAAAAAGAAATGATATAAATATATAATACACAGTAAATCTTACTTAATATATGTAACAATCATATCAATAAATAAAAGTGAACTTAACTAAAACCCATTAAATAAAAAAGATTTTCAGATTGGCTCATGCAGCAAACTCAACTGCTAAGCAAATCCAACTGTTAAATAAACAGACCTACTTAAACTAATTCAGAAAAGCTAGATCAGGTAAATGCAAGTAAACAAAGACTCCCGATATTCCATAAGGGAGACTTTAGGCTTAAAAACATTAAATAAGCTGGCCCTGGCTGGTGGCTCGGTCGGCTGGGTGTCACCCCACCCAGGATGGAAATGTTGCCGGTTCAACTCCCAGTCAGGGCACATGCCTGAGTTGTGGGCTTGATCCCCAGGAGGAGGCGTGCAGGAGGCAGCTGATCGATGTTTCTCTCTCTCTCCCTCCCTTCCTCTCTCTAAAAAATCAATAAAATCTTTAAAAAATAACATTAAATAAGACAAAGAATTTACTTCATAACGCTAAAGGACCCAATTCACAGTAAAGAAGTAATGGCTATGAACACATCAAATAATGCAGCAACTTTATAAAGCATAAATTATAAAAAACAAGAAGAAACAAAAATACAGTAATAACAGAGAACTTTAATACTTCACTTTCACTCAAAACAGATTTAAAAAACCAAAAAATTAGAGATATATACAACCTAAATAATGTAATCAATAAGGTAGGTATTGGCACATGTCAAAAAGAACATACCTTCCTCTCAAGTAAACATCAAACACTCAATAAATCTGACAATGAGGTCACCACAAAACCACAGTCAGCTTCATAAAGTAAAATTAATACCACATTCTCTGATTATAAAAAGAATAGGTAAAGTAAAAATTAATTAAAAATAGAAAACAAAAAAGACCCTTGAATAAAAATTAAAGCCTTCTATTAAACAATTCTTTGGAAAAGAAGAAATAAAAATTTCAGAGTTTCTAAAGAAACATGGCGATAAACACACTACATTAAAGAATCCATGGAATACAATAAAAGCAGTGACCAGAAGAAAATTCATAGCCTTAAATACTTATATGAATAAAGTGAAAGAATGAGAACAAATAAATTCTAACAAAGAAAATTAGAAAAAGTACAATAAAATAAACCTAAATAAAACAGAACACAAGGGGCTTCCTCCCACGGCCGCATCAAAATTACAACTAAGTTACAGAGCAACCATCACTCAGAACCACCTGAAATCTAGCTGAACCGAAGTCCTACAAATCGGGAATTAAAGACACCCCATCAGAACTGGTAGGAAGAGCGGACACTCAGAACCAGCTGGCCCCACACATATATGTGGTGGTTAAAAATCGGGAGGGGTCTCTTCGCTGTGGAGTCCCCCCTAAGGAGCCAGAGGTCGCAGCCCAGGATTCCAGTGCCAGGAAGAGAAGTCCCCATAACTCCTGGCTGTGAAAACCAGCTGAGACCGTGGCTGAGTGAGACAGGGGCTGCTGGGGTCCCCGGCAGTTCCTCTTCAAGGGCCCACACACAGACACTCACCCTGAGCTCCAGCTGAGGTAGCGGCCCAAAAGGCACCAGGGACACACGGGAACTGAACTGTCTGGCGTCAGAGCTAAAGGGGCGGCTTTCTCCCAGACAGAAGTGCTGGCGGGGCCCGCTGTTCCTTCGCTGGGCCCTCCCCCTGCAGGCACAGGTGTGAGCCATAGCCGAGCCCCATCACCCTGGCTCACAGTGTTTACTGGGCCCTGGCTACTCCGAGACCTGGCCCCACCCAACTTGGGAGCCTACCCAAGCCATTACCAGTGGCTTTTCCATACAAAGCGCCGGTCTTGACTCATGCTCAGCTTTCCTAAAATCTCTCACAGGTTCACAAACCGAAAACAAGCAGCATCTGGCCTCAGCATGCCCCGTACCTCTTGCTAAGTGGCCCCAGGCCTGGCACTAGCAGCAGCCAGCCTTGATTCGCAGCTTGGGCCCACCTGGGCCCCTCCAGCCCAGCACAAGTAGCAGCCACCTGCAGATTGTTCTGTAGCTCATACTGCGTGACCCCTTGCAGGGGACAGGTGCTAACTGATCTTGGCCTGCACCTCCCAGGAGGCCCCAGAGCCAGCGCACCTGGTGGTCAGCTTCAGACTGCACAGAAGCACCACCCAACCACCTCCACAATCAGTCCCTCAAGGGGTGGACTCAGCGGGCACCAGAGCACCACTGAAGTGAGTCCTGCTCCGTGGGTTGGCCCTTTCACAGCAGATTCTCTGCTGGGATCACTGTCATTCCTCACAGCTGATCGGCCTGGGGGTAAGTCCCTTTCCATTAACAGTAATCAAGGCTCAACTACAAAGGAAGGTGCACCTGGAGCGCCCAGCTCAGGTGATCAGGAGGCTGTGCCACTGGGCCCTACTGGACATTTACTACGGAAGGCCACTGTACCAATACCTGGAGACGTGGCAGCTCTACCTAATACACAGAAACAAACACAACGAGGCAGCCAAAATGAGGAGGCAAAGAAACATGTCCCAAACAAAAGAACAGGAAGAATCCCCAGAAAAAGCAGTGAAGTACACTAAACAAGCAATCTACTACATGCAAAGTTCAAAACACTGGTTATAAGGAGCTTGATGAACTCAATGAGAACTTAACAAAAAGATAGGAACCATAAACATGGAGACAGAAGATGTTAAATAAGAAAAATGAATATGAGAAATGCCCACAGCAAACGATCTTTGATTCACGTTATAGCAGCTTTTTAAAGTTTCTCAGAAGTTCTGCTTAACTTTATTCAGCCCTCTAAGAGCTACTGTTACGTTGACTCGGTTATGAAGAATATTGCTATACTTTTGAAAACATTTTGGAAAATGCTACTAAAAATCCCATCTGATCAAAATTGTAAAAGTTAACTTAAAATAGCTATTTTTGTTGTTGTTGGTCACAAATCATCTTTCTGTATGTAACATATACCACCTTGTGGAAATCTAGGGATAACACTGTCATATTTTTCAGAATTTAAGAATAGTCTTCTGATAGTCTGACAAACGAGCTAAGACTTTATACACTTACATTCCCTTATATTAAAACAAGACCAAACACAAAAAATCCTGTCCTCATGCCATCATTGATATATAGTTCCTAGAACCAAATAGGAACTAAATAACCATTAACAGATGTGTTGATGTGGTATTTTTTTCTATTAAAAATATGTCAGAAAGTAAAATTATGGGGCTGATCTTAATAAGTGCGTTAAATGAGAGACAAATTGTTTTACCTATAACTCTTGCATTTTCCTTAAATAAGATGCAGAAAAGCAGAAGAAGGAAGGAAGGAAGGAAAGAAGGAAGGAAGGGAGGGAGGGAGGGAGGGAGAGAGAGAGAGAGAGAGAG